TCCACACAGTCCAATAAACCCGATTGTCCCTCTCCTCCACCTGACTGGAGGCAGGGCCCCTCTAATAGTGATCACAAGATTGTCCACCTATGTCTTGTAGAAAGGGATTGTTATTCTTTATCGCAGGAGCTGGAGTAAAATCAGCTCTTCCAACCCATCTGGGAAACTGCTCACAGGCTGGGGATGTACTCTTACAAGTCAAAAAGGCTCGGGGTGGGCCCTCACGGACCATTAACTATTGTGTCTCCAGACACAGTGCACCATCTAATTTAGTCAGAGAAGTACAGAATCTAGCATGTCCTCTGAGTAGTTGGGAACACCACAAAGAGAAGAGGACCACAGCCACTGAACTGCAGTAGAATAAAAAGAGAGGTCTGTTGTACAACAAAGGTTGGTTTCTCAGCAGCTTCATTTTCCAAAACTCTTCGTATTTATTTTTTTGTTGTTGAAGTGCTGAATATTCTCAGTGCAATGTGAAACCTGTAGGACCTGTGGGGACTCAGCGTTTCTGAAAGCCAGGCCCACTTTTATGGATGCCATTGATGTTTCCAGCCTTTCATTACTGCAGATCCAGTATTTTACATTCTTAGTGTTTCTTAACGGCTGGGTGGATTCTGTAGGAATTGCTGTTGGAACAAGCCCAGAGGAGCCCACGAGGATGATAAGGTGACTGGAGCACCTCCCGTATGAAGACAGGCTGAGAAAGTTGGGGCTGTTCAGCCTGGAGAAGAGAAGGCTGCGTGGAGACCTCATATCAGCCTTCCAGTATCTGAAGGGGGCCTATAAGGGTGCTGGGGAGGGACTCTTCATTAGGGACTCTAGTGGTAGGAAAGGGGAAATGGGTTTAGATTTAAACAGGGGAAGTTCAGACTTGATATAAGGAAGAAGTTCTTTACAGTGAGGGTGGTGAGGCCCTGGCACACATTACCCAGAGAAGTGGTAAATGCTCCATCCCTGGCAGTGTTCAAGGCCAGGCTGGACAGAGCCTTGGGCAAAATGGTCTGCGGTGAGAGGTCTCTGCCCATAGCAGGGGGTTGGAACTGGCTGATCTTACGAACCTTTCCTAACGATCTTATGATTTTATGATTCTGTGACTCAGCACCTCTGAAAGCCAGGCCTGATTTTACGGATATCATTGATGTTTCCATCCCTCCATTACTGCAGATCCAGTATTTTACATTCCTGGTGTTTCTTACAGTCTGGGTGGATTCTGTAGGAAATACTTTGTTGCTAGAATCAAGCTGCAGTTCCATTTACTTGTCAGTTACACAGCCAGTTGATAAATATTTTTGGCCTTTGTCTTGGTTCTGCCTCTGACACATAAAACTTACAGCTCCTTTTAAATGTTGGTCTGTGACTTTGGGCTGAATGTAGGAATGTCTGGAGTTACTTTATGTGTATGTTTTGCAGTACGTGGTTTATGTTTTAGTAGCTAGCTCTCAGTAGTGCTCTATATGTACGGTTTGGAAAAGAAACCGAAAGAAACTTGTACGTGCTGTGCATCAGCTACAGTGTTCTCTAAAATTCACTGCAGGACTTAAAATATAGTGAGTATGCTGAGAGGTGACAGAAATACTTGCAAGAGTGGGAGAAAGTGAGTGCTCCTTGTAGGGTCTTTGAGAGTTCTGAGTGTGATGCTCACACTGGGTATTAGGCAGGAACGTCTCTGCTGTGCTGAGAACCTTCTTCAGTCAAGCCAAAAAGACCCCTAAATATGTTTTAATTTGCAAGTGGAAATTCCCTTTGGGGAAGTTGTGAAGGGAGTGAAGCGGTAAAATCATTTAGTATGGGAAAAGAGTTGCTTGAGTTCCAGTGTGCTTCTGCTTTGCCTTGAGACTAACACGTTACTATGAACGTGTGTTCACCACGCTTTGCACACCAGCAGACCGCAGTGGGATTCCTTTTTTCATTATGGTCTGGGCTTTTTTCACTCCTAAGCCAAGTGCACTTTGAATCTGGTCAGGAAAGAGTTTCATTTACTGAGAGAAGCCCCAGGGCAGCTGGTGCCCTTTGCACTGCTGAGGATGCCACGTCACCAAAAGGAAACTTGCCAGTGTTGGCAGTGTGGTGGATGGAGCAGCGCGGGTGGCTTTCCACAGAGAGCCAGCTTCTGCTCGCTGCAGGGACCTGAGGCTTCACCTTCAGGTCTCCCTGCTCGCAAAACATCATTTCATGTGTATTGCAGTTACATGGGTTTAGGAATCTGTGGAAGTCGGTCAGCTTGACTGGCTACTGTAATGCCAATTACTTCCCTGCTATGACAAGGCAAGCACCCTGGGGAAAAAAGTATTTAACATGCAGAAATCCCCAAAAGGTGCCCTGTATTAGTTTGTTGGGTTTTTTAAAATCGGTCGTGTGCTCATTCATGGAGTTGCATCCAGTGCAGTAACGCAGCATCCTGTGCCTGCAGGACTGAGGCTGGAGCCTCCACCCAGGCATGCCCTGCTGCCCTGGGGGGTACCCACGCTCGCTGTGGAGCTCTGGGGAAATGAGCAGGCTTAGATCGGCAGCATCAGCAAGAAAATGAGGTGGAAAAGGTTTGGTTTCGGAGGGATCGTTCTTGGGGCCAGGTATCTGCTCCATGCTGGAGACTCATCACTGTGTCTAAGGAGGCTGAGGTTGCATCTCTGCCTCCTTGTACATGAGAGTCATCTCATGTGCCTGCTCTGAGTCCCAGTCACCGTACACATACACTCCCGCATTTTGGATACCCTGTCTCCAGAGCTCTCCATTTACTCCCAGTCCCAGGTAACAAAATGGGAGAAGGATGATACATGAAAACAACTGATTTGTGGCAAGAATTAGGGCAAGGAGAAAATACCTGACAGGTTTGTCAGTTGCGATCTGCTAGCTGTGATAGAGTGCGGCTCTGCTCTGCCTTTCTCCGGGAGCTGTGTGTGATGCTGTGTGTGAACACAAGTGGCAATTGCTCAAGGCAAAGGCAATGTGCAGTAGAATCATATAAACTTTCTTCTGTCTGTCATTGCAGGTGCTTGCCCTTGTTTGGTCTTCAAAATTTCTCATAAAACCAGATTTTTCCGGTCTACTATGTGTTTTTATTTGCATTTCCAGTAGCCTTTAGCTGTTTGCAAGTAGGTTTGGTTTTCCCAAAATGAAAGTAAATTCATGTTTTACTGTTTTGACTGTGCCTCTGTACTTCTAGTCTCTCTGCTTTTTCTTAACACGCATTTAGCAGCAAGGTTTAGTCTGTGTTGCAGCAATCAAAAGACAATTTAAAATATCTTTTTCAGGATCTTAACTCGCCAAGATGCCCATCAATGTTGATGATGTGATGCAGCTGTTCTGCCACCTCTCCCAGGAGAAGGGGATGAAAGCTGCTGTCAAGCACTCTGGTCGAGGAGCACTGCTGGCGGGTGCAACAGCTTTTATTGGGGGTCTGATGGGAGGTCCACCTGGAATCGCTGTAGGTAAGTATGTTTTGCTTTAGGAACAAGAAGTGTGGTTAACTCCCTGAGTGAAGAAATGAGGAAGCCTGTGTGTAGGTATGGGTTGAAGGGAAGGGGCATGCAGTGTTGAGATTTCATGTAGATGGGCTTTAACAAGATGCCATTTTGTGTGTCAGCTTTTAGAAATGAGATGTGCATGAGGTAGGCATGTGTATTTCCTTCTAGTGTGGTAGTGACCTTGCTAACTTGGACTCCTGTGCAGCAAAATGGAAGCCATTCAGAGGTCTAAGGTTGAGACAGTGGCACCTTTGAAACCCTTTGAACAAGCTGTTAACAAATCATTTTGGTGGGTAGAGCCCTGGTTCACATCTGCTGTTGTAAACCAGTGCTAAAGGTGTGGGACAAACAGCAAACCATGATGCTCCGAGCTTCTTGTGTGGGCTCAGCTCCAGCACTGAGGTGAGGAAGTGGAAAGGGTGAAGAAGCATGAGAGACAATTGTAGCAGTTGGGGCAGGGAGGAATGTTAGTACGTAGTGGCACAGAAGAGAGAAAATTGGGGTGTAAAGTAAGGGTGAATAAGTATCTTAGTCAGCCTTAGCATGGGACAGGATCATTTTCCTAATGATGTTAATAAAATTGTTTATTTCTGTATTTGAAAAGTACCTGCTATCCACTTCTTGGTGTACTTGTTTTGGTTTGTTTTTTTTTTCTGGAATTCCCTATTCAGTGTCACTTTCCTTTTTTCCTTGGCTGGAAAACTACAGGAAGGCCAGAGTGTATTAGTAAAGAGTTGTGTCTCCTCTGTATCTCTTGAATTAAGAGTTGTCACTGAAGTCATGGAATCCTAGAATACTTTGGTTTGGAAGGGACCAGGATGCTCCAGGCCCCATCCAGCCCAGCCGTGAACACTGCCAGGGACGGGGCAGCTACAGCTTCTCTGGAACCCTTTGCCAGTGTCTCACCACCCTCACCTGGAGGAGTTCCTTTGTGATAGCTAATCTAAATCTCTCCTCCGTCAGTTTAAAACCATTCCCCCTTACTCTGTCACTACAAGTCTGGACGGACATGAGACTGGGTAGCAGGGATTGTCCTTATTACTGCCGTACATCAAGAATTAGAGGACAAGTTACCTTCCATCTGCAGCAGTCATGGGAGAAACTTGGACTTGCCCTGCTTTCTAGGGACTGCTTGCTCTGAATAGATTGTGGATGTGTTGCTGGAGAGGGGGGGAAGTGTAATCATGTAACAAATCTTGTCCCAACAGACAAGGAATTTAGACATCAATACTTCTAGCGGCTTTTGCATTAAGTGCCCCTAAATCAGATATTGATGTTCTCTTAAAACTACAGAAGATGAATTTAGTTGTAGTACGCTTTCAAGTATTTCTGTGGTATCATGGGGAAAACTG